GGGCTGGTGGAGGTGCAAGGAGAAGGAGAAGGAGGAAGAGGAGGAGGAGGAGGCCCGGAAAACTCCAGCCAGCAGAGCGCGTTTTGACGACGCGACTTTCTGGTCTCTTCTCTGCTGCTGCTCCTGCTGCTGCTCCTGCTGCTGCTGCCGCTGCTGTTGCTGCTGCTTCTGCTGCTGCGTCGTCGTCGTCGTGTATGCCTCTCGCGCGCGCGCGCGTCGCAGCAGTGCGATTCGTGCGTCGTGCCGACTTTTGGAGCACTGCGGCCGCGCCGCGGGTCGGGGCATGCCACAGCCCGTTCGGATATAAGTATCGTCGTGCGTGCAGCGCGTGAAGCCGTGCGCACTCGACGATCTTCGTCCGGCAGCCAGTCGTGCCGTGTACGTCTCGCCGTACTTCGACGCTGATCGTCCTCCTCCTCGTGGACGTTGTCGTCGTCGTCGTCAACGTCGTCTACGTCGTCGTCGTCGTCGTCACCGCCGCTCACGCAGGCGCCCTGACGTCGACGTCGCCACCGCCATCGCGGCCGTACCGGAACCACCACCGCAACGCCTGCCTCCCTCCACTACCGCGTCCATGCCACCCTCTTCGCAACCCTCTAGTTATATAGGGTGTCTTGAAATCGTGTCTCTTGAATGTTGTTTCAGCTGCAAAGTCTACGATGAAAAGATAGATAAATTTTTATCAATTAGATTTAGGGAGGGTTGTATAGGAAAAGAATATAATTATAATTTCAAATAACACGATCAAATAGAAAGCGAAAAAGAGTAGGGCAAATTTTGCTTTGGAATGAAATTTCTTCCTATTAATAAGCAATAATTGATATAAAAATTAATTAATAAATAAAAATGTCTTCAGAAATGCTGAAAATATAAAAGAAATTCTAAATTATTATAGTTTTAAAAAAGCTGCTTTTTTCAAATTGTTGGAAAAAAACCGAAATTTTTCCGTTTTTTTTCCGAGAAAAATTAGTTTTTTTGAAAAATTGCTGTTTTTGCTATGTAAAAGACATAATAAGTAATTTCTAAATTCCTTTATAAAATTAATGCGATCTATGAAATTATGTAGCATTATTTTTATTAAAATTTTTTAGTTATCCTTATATTTTTATAGTAAAACCTAATCTAACCTTCCTTTAATACATGGCAAAGCTTAAGTAGACAGATTTTTAACTTTAGTTCATCCCACACTCCGGTATAATGAACTCCTGAAGTGTCTCTTTGTAGTTTATTTTTTTTCAAATATTTTATTACGAATTCAGTTTAAATCCAAATTATTTTCTACACCTACTATTATCATATAAACATGATGTTTGGATTCTATATTTTTAATTCTTGCATTAATGGTGCAATAGTGTATGTTTTGTATGTTTTATTGAATACATTATGCGATCTCAATCTTTTATACGATTTCAAAATTTCTGTTAACTTATCCCGCTGTGTATCCTATACGCAATTATTTTCTTTACGGAAAGAATCGAGAAGCAAACATTATAGGTTTTACGAGCACGCGCGAATTCTTTCAAAATAAATTTTTTCACCCTTGGGGAAAAAACCGAAAAAATCCGCGGAAAAATTGGAAAAGTTGAGTTTTTTTCCGATCCTTTAAAATTATATAAATTATGCAAGGAAATTATGTAAATATTTAATCTTAATCAGTTTTCGCGGGTTTAGTAGACTGAACATTTTCTTTAATTACATTGCGAAAAATTATTTATAATAAATGTTTCATAATCTTACATAATTTTAAATTAAATAATCTTATTTCTCGGATTTTGATAAGCAAAGTCGAGATACATTAATTTAAAATACATTAAATCTATTAATGCCAGTTAAAGAAATTTCAGAGTGAATACCGATTAGGGTTAATCGAAATATTTTTAAGAGATAAAAAATTAAGTTCCTTTTTTCTTTTTTATTTTTGAAATATATAAATAAACGGTAAACTTTATTTTTTAATTAATTTTAGAACTGTTTTCTTGGAAAATTGAATTTAAGATTTATCAAAATATTCGATTGAAGGCAAACGATAAATGAGATTGTCAATCTCTCACAAAGTTTTCATTAAAAAAATCGGGTTTCGATATTCCTTTTATACATTCTGCGATAAAAGACCATCAGCAGAATCGAACATTTAAAAAAATAAGATCCTATAAAATATGAGTTTTCTATAAAATTCCTTAACTCTATCATCAAATTTTAATTGAATCTTCTCCAATTTTATTCTGGAGTTAGAGTATAAACTTTTGAGAGAGAATTTTCGAAAGAGAACGGTATTATTCCTAATAACACAGACCTCCAGGAGATATTCTTAAGATATCGAGAGGACGTTCTGTGAACATCTACAGGATAAAGTGTGCTCTTAAGGATTGCTGTATAAAAGAAACCGGAAATCCTACTGTACCTTCGACTCGAAATTGTCTCAACAACAATCGACGCAAGTGTCACGAGGCGGCAACGGTAGCTTGATAAGCGCAGCGCTCGATAAGAGCCGGTTTCGGTTTACGTACCGACGGGACAGAGGGAGGAAAAAAGAGAGATGAAGCGAGGTGCAGCCTCCGTATGGTTTCCGGGGGATTAGAAACGGCGCGTAAATAAAAGTATCACGACGGGAGCGATTTATAGCGGTGGATAACGGTGGAGATCGCGCGCGCGCATTCTCGTTGGAAGAGGAAGCAAGCGTATGCGCATGCGCGCTTGCTACGATGGTGAAGCACGGGCCGCGTCCGTAATTGCACGCGGAATCTTGCATGCCTTCTGATGTAGAGGTACCGTCGGTACCGTCTTGCGGGGAAGAGGCGCGGCGCGCTGCCTCCGTCGGAGGTTGGCCGTAAATCTCTCATGATTAGCCACGGGATGCGAATTACTGGCCGTCGACGACGGCATAGATCAAGACGCGGCCTACATTGTTCATAAATGCGCGTTCCCGCGCTTTGACTTGCGTAAAGTTCATTCTACAAATTAGTCGAATATTCTCTTCATATATTCAACTGTGATGATCAATTATTACAACTATTTACAACTATTTACAACTATGCTTACATAATTGTAGAATAAACTTAACAAGACTTACAGAATATACTTTCATCCGCGATGCAACGTTACCGCCGAGAACGAGAATAATCTAATCGTTTTGACGGATTTTTTCTTGATATCATCGATAATGGGACGATAAGGTCTTGGATTTAATCTCTTTGCGATTAGCGCGATCGTTACTTTCTTTTTTTTTTGAATGTAAGTACATATCGTGTTTGACTGATTTGGATTCCGTAAGAACTAGATGCGTAATCGCGACTCGTTTAACTCTATATAAAAAAATATAAAAATAATATTAATAAAAGAAAAAGAAAAATTAAAGATAATTATTATTTAAGGCTCGATCCTAATCATTCACCACTTCAGATTGATGACGTCAGAAGCAAGAAAACGAATAATGAAAATTCTTGCAAAATATTATATATTGAAATAGAAATATATTCTTTAATATATTTTTAAACATATTTTTTAATATATTTTTAAATATATCTTTTAAATATATTTTTCTATATATTTTTCAATATATTAAAATAAAAATATATTTTTCAACCAAACAATATATTTGAATTTGAGAATACATTTATAAAATATACCGAAAACTCACCTTCTACTTTGGAATAGAATAAAATTATATTTATCTCATTTGACAACTGTAATTATATAGTTTATTTCTTTTTTGGTTAGGCATAATTCAATTTCAAATATATGCAGTAGTATATTTATTGATTACCAGATCACAAAGGGAGTTTTCGGTATGTTTCACAAATGATGTATTCTATCAATTGCAAATATTGTTTTATTAAAAAAATGTTCACATTTTAATGTAGTTTGTAAGAATTTTCGATCTTTACGTATATTTTTTTGCTTCTAACGTCACAATTTAAGATGGCTGTCAATAAACAGTAAGCGTCAAGACAGAATTAAAATTAATATATTTTTTAAACTCTAGACCTTCAGATTTCGATCAAAATTTGAGCTTTTACAATGAATAAGTATAAGATAATAACGGAATTAAACAATTTAAAAGCATATATGGATTTGTTTCCATTGTTATATCTTTTTTACCTTGTGCGAGTGAGATATGATTTCGTATTCCTTCGATTATTCCGAACACAGTGCCGCCAAGAAGTATTGCCTTGGAGTAAGTAAATATTGCTTTTGTAATTAATTAATTGTTCAGAAACAATTTAGACGTTATTACGAAGCGACGTGCGACGATCTGTTGAAGGAAACTCTCAGTTTTCGGGATAGAAAAACGATTACCAAGACGAAAGTATCGGGATTTGAAACGATGAGTCTGCGAAGATGGCCGCAATATTGTCTAGAGGGAGCCAGGGTGAGCTCGCGGCCGAAATTTTATACAGCGCCAACTCACGGCCGGAAATGGTACTTCTAGAGTGTCTATGCTCACGTCGATCGCTTTTCAGTCTAAAGTCACGTCTTTCGTTAGATTACGCAAATGCGCTCTTGTCCCGTCCGTCTGCGTATCAGTGCGTTTTGACGTTTTGACAAACGGAACGAAATATCACCCGCCTAGGAATTACCTCGTCGTGTATTTAATCAACGTTAATTAACAAAATGAACAGGCTCTTCGGACGTGCTAAACCTAAGGAACCGCCACCAAGCATCACTGACTGCATCGCGGGGGTAAGGAAGATAAATTTGTTGTTAAGAGATGACCATTGCTTGCTATTTTTTTTTATCGCGTTACTGCGTCGATCATGATACTCGTACTGCAAAAATTAGTCTAATTTTACATTGAAGCATGACATGTGGATAGCCAGGCGTTTTCTAATTTTTTGAAGCAATAGGGATCTATTTGTAAATACATAATATTCTTCATCAAGGTTGACAGTAGGGCGGACTCTGCAGAAAAGAAGATAGCTAGACTAGATGCAGAGTTGAAGAAGTATAAAGATCAAATGGTCAAGATGAGGGACGGGGCAGCAAAGAATGCAGTAAAGGCCAAGGCTCTGCGTGTGTTGAAGCAGCGGAAAATGTATGAGTCTCAAGTAGATAATTTGCGTCAGCAGGCGTTCAACATGGAGCAAGCAAATTATGCCACTCAAACGTTGAAAGATACCCAGGCAACTGTAGTTGCTATGAAAGAAGGTGTTAAACAAATGCAAAAGGAATTCAAAAATATTAACATCGATCAAATCGAAGTACGTTGGAAAATAATCTTTTATAATGTAAGCGTTTTGATTAAACCTTTGATTCAATGCTACATATGTTGCTGTTACTGTATACAGGATATGCAAGATGATTTAGCAGATATGTTAGAACAAGCTGACGAAGTGCAGGAAGCAATGGGTCGCAGCTACGGAATGCCAGAAATTGATGATGATGAATTGGCAGCGGAATTAGAAGCTCTGGGTGACGACCTTGCCTTGGATGAAGATACTAGTTACTTAGATGATGCTATTAAAGCACCTAGTGCCCCAGACAAAGAACCTGGAGCAAGTTCAGTCAAGAACAAGGTTATTATTTAATATTAATATACATATTCTTGAGGCTTTCACGGGTGTTACCTATGTGACAATCTTGCGTTTCGCGGGTTTTCTCCGTGTTTAGATCAACATGATTTTTTTCTGATCCTTTAAAGTTTGCGTTATATGTTCCAAGATACTTCAACATGTTCCTATCGTAGCTCTTACTCTAACACTTAAAGTGAGTAGGAGCTTTGGTAGAGGAGAATGTTGGAGCATGTTTGGAGTATGTGATGGAAACAAACTTTAAAGGATGGGTTGTTTGCATCCTGACATTTTTAATCACATTTACAAATATACAAAAATTAAGTAATTATATCTTACATATATTTTGACATCTTTAAAGTATTTGTAAGGTATATATTACAAAAATGTATATAAATATATCATAACTAATTTTTTTTAGTGCTAGTATTTTAAAGAAAAGAAGTGGACATGAATGACTTAATTATACGTATTAAAGGTTAATAAAAATACCTGATAATATAATCCTATGCAGCAAGTTGATGTTATTTATCATCATTTTGATGTGAAAACGTTATCACGACGTCAATTTTACGCCCAAATGACAAATAACATCATCTTACTACCTGAAATGAAAGAAGAATATGTATAGCTTGCGAATTCTTTAAAACTTTATGATTAGTCAAGAATAAAAAAGAGAAGATGCATATAATTTATATTACATATAAAAACCGCTCAAGTTTCTAATTGATAAAATGTATATATGTTTTTTAAATGTGCTTACAGGATGGTGTTCCAGTGGACGAGTTTGGCTTGCCACAAATACCTGCTAGTTAAATTTAAAGATACATCAAAATTTATAGATAAGGCAAATATAAGCTTAAGAATATTCGCATGCATGCCCAAAGACGTAAGATCCTTCAAAAACAAGACATATGGTTTTTAATCGATACTCGCGCGACACAAATTAATGCCCTAACAATGTTTTGTTGACGTAACTTGCGTAAAAGGTATTTAGTTTACTACCCTATTAATAGATTTTTGTTATTGTCTTCAAAGTCACTATTTTTATTAAATAAATATTATATGTTGTACATAAACATTAATAAATTAATAAATATTAATTATAAATGCAGAAAAATTTTTTGTTATATATACAAATGATATAAGATTCATTTAAATTCCATCTTCTTTTTACAAGTTGATTAAATTACTTGCAATCTAGAGATACTCGTCTCTTCCATATTTTGTATTTCTGCATAACAATCACATAAACTGAGAATATTTTCTTTGCTCTCAATAAAATGCGTTTCTTCGAATCCATGTACTTGCGTATAGTGATGAACATGTGCCTAAAATGCAATTTCCAATTTATAATAAAATATATATTTTATAATCATGCAATGAAATTAATGTTGAAAAATAATTTCGTAATTATTTTTGTTTATTGAATGATATATTTTAAGAATAAAAATGAACGATTTCAGAGACTAAAAAATTGTTTTTTAAAAAAATATAAAAAAATAAGAAGTTAGCTTTCATTACAATGTACCTTTTTCTTATACAATTTAGAAAACTCTCGGATTATATCTTTGAATAATGAAGACATGGCAGATGAATTAAGAAGACACAGTAATGATGATGAATGCCCCGCTGGAGGAATAGAACATAATCCTATTTTCATACAATCCCTACTCCACGAAGTAAATTTTGATTTGTTTTGAAATCTACGAAAAATAATATTATATAATTAATACAAAATAATTATTAAACACTGCTATATGTCTATTTAAAAAAAAAGCAAAATAGATTAAATACCTTTCAATATTTCGTTTTATATCAGTCAAAGTAGTATTTCCCCTCGCAATGTGCGCTGCGGCAAGAATGACAGACGTAGATTGAAGTGGATCTAATCTAATTAATTGATTATTTCGCGACCATGCGTTCGTAAACACTTCGTCCTGCAATCTTAAATATTAAATTAATATTTTGCTGTTTTTAAATTTCAATTTTAAAATTTAAAGGAACAGGAAAGAAAGAGGAAAGAAATTAATATACTTTGCTTCATGCATGGTGCACATATTTGGAGCAGATAAAGTCACAGGGTTGATACTGCTGAATATATAATGTAATTTTGGATAAGGTACTAGATTTGTAGCTATTTCATTCATATCCATATTTAAGCTTCCTGGAAACCTGGATCCACTAAAACAAATTGCTGTCTTCACAATGCCAAATCTTGTAATCACAGATCTAAAATTTAATTACCTAGTCAAATGCAAAAGCATATTGACAACGATACTGTTCATATCTTGAAACGGTCTGCACGAGGCATTATAATTTATTTGGCCCGTGTTATCTCGTTTATTTATTTGAGCATTACATATATCTAAGAGAGCTTTATTCTCTACAGGAAGCACACACGTGGCATGTTCTACAAGTTCTTGAGTTGCAAGTAATGTGTTATAAGGGGCAGTTATGGTATCTTGTGTATTGGCTGGATATATACATGACACAATTCTAAAATTATTAAATCTTATTTGTTGACAATTCTAAAATATCGATGATATCAGATAATCTCTGATCTTTACATTCTGAAGTTCTATACGATCAAGTTTTAAGATTTAATTAATCTAATCAATATCTATACATATTAATTTAAAAAGCACCTTTCTACATGAGGGTAATTATCTTTTAACAGTTTTAAAATTGCTGTTCCTAATCCAGATCCAGTGCCACCTCCCAAGGAATGCATCAATAAAAATCCATGAAGTCGATCACATTTTTCAACTATGCATCTTACACTTTCTTCTAAACGATCATGATAATCGTTACCATGAACATGATATCCTATTGCCCTAGAAATCAAATTATTACACCACAAATTTTTGTAATGTTATTTGAAATATAAATGTCTTCTTTCACAAACTACCAATTATTTCCAGATCCTGGATAATTCGTTACAATACATGTCTGATCAAATAACTGGCGCAACGGACCTTGCTTAAACCTAGATAAAACGCTGTCTTCCATATCTACTAAAACAGCCTGCTTCAGAAAATTATTATTAAACATTTGATAACTTTTATTATTGCAATTTTAAGAAATTAAATGGAGTAATATTAAATACACACCCTAGCTTTAATTTTAGCTGCATTTAAGTCAGTTACATCTTGAAAATGCAATTTAGATTTACTATTTGGAATATGAAAGAAACTAGAAAAGGCATCGGAAAGATCGTCAATATGTTTGACATGATTTCTTTGTACTTTGAGCAAATTCACACCACCGGTGGTAGTCTGAATGCCATATTCATGCAAGACTAAGGGCCAGAAAGCTGATCCTATTTGATTTCCGCATTGGCCAACTAAGACATTGAAAAAAAGAAAATAAGAAATGCAATTTATTTTTAAAGTCAACGTTGTCTCCATTGTCCAGTAAACGAAAATGGATTAAAATGGATTGAAATTTTTTCTATGCGAATGCATATTTTAAATAGCAAATACTTTTTTTGGATTTAATTGGATTCAATTGGATTCAATTAGATTCAATTGGATGCAATTGGATTGAAAAATTGCATTTCCTATTCAAAATTTTGAATTGAATAGTATTCACAATGCACAGAAAAAGCTGATATTATTTTTAGATTGAAAGGCATAGAGATATGCTCCAATTCCTATAAATGATTCCTATAAAAATGCATTCAGGGAAAGCATACATTTTAACATTCGTGAATCCATATTTCTGAAAATCTGAATCCATTTCAATCCATTCTCGTTTACCGAGTGATAAAACCATTTAAATTATGTCGGTTATATGCATTTACCTTGCACTGTAACAAATTGACTCATTATTTTTATTACATTCAAAACTTAAGATGCCGATATAATTCGTCATTAAGTCCGGCAATTTCGACAATAAAATTATTTCCTGTCAATTTGTTATGTTTGAGACTTTACGTCCAAATTGTTTGTTTATTTCAATTACACTCTTATGTTACGATTTCTACTATAAATTCACGTAAATATATAGAGAGTTAAGATTTAGGGGAAGAGAGAGGAAAAGAAGAAGAGAAAGACACAAAAGAATCAATCACGGAAGAAACAGATATTTTTGACGTGTACGAATAAAGAAGAAACAGACGCTTAGATGTTTTATTGATACACATAAATGCTGGTTGGCAGCCACACATGCATATCTCAGTTTGCGAGATCTCGCTAATCTCGCAACACTCGAACAATCGATAAGATCGATTCGCTGCATCCGTTTTCTCGCAACAATTCGATAATTCATGTTCAAATCCTTCTTTTTGTCGGCTTTTCGGTTTGACCGGTCCGACTGGTGCTGGCGGTATGCGACGAGTCGCGTGGCGAACGTACTTAATAAAACGTAGTGAATGTGAGAGAAAACTTCGTTGAACTGAGAGAATGGATAGCGCAACTGGGCTGTCGAAATGGATTCTTCTGTGTTTCTATTTGTCTCAATATGCGTACGCACGTCGCATTCTCGACGAGCCAAGTAAGCTCTAGTTAACCTCTCCGTCGGCCAGAAGATAAGCTTCTTGATAATTCTGTTATCAAAAATTGTGCAATTGAGAAAAGCAACAATAATATCGTGACAATTAGCTGTATGATAACACATATGTCAGGCGATATATGTATACTCAATCATTAAAATACTCCGAACAGAGTGCACAGTCACTGCTACTTATTTTGTTATTGAAATATATTTAATAGTTAATTATACTTTGTCATCCATTTCCTTCATCATTATAAGCTTAAAATATATAACGTTATTTTTATTATATTGCTAAAATATTGTTTTATTGCCAAGTTGTTAACATTCAAACCTTTTTATAACTTAAAATTGATAGAAGGAAAGAAATTGCATTCTCTTTTTCTAAATATCATAGACTAATTTTAGGATTGTAAATATTTATTTCTTATACTTATAGTTATGATATATTTTGGTACATGTTTCAGGAATACATTTTCTGAATGCAGATGACAGTGTAGAAAATAATCATCCTGGTCTAAAAACATATTGTCACAATGCTACATCAAAGTATTTAACACATATGTGGAGAACAATGATTGTAAGAAGCTTTCAGGAATGAAATATTTTTTATACATATAAGATACAGAATTTTATATACAATATAAAAGATTTTCATATATTTATGATACAAACTTTTAATGTTACAGATGCATCTGAATATTAATTCAGACTCCTATATTTTATACGATGGCAAAACACCTCGAGAAATCCACCAAAAGTATGATGAAAATGATAAATCATGGAGTCTTAATATGTTTGATACAGGAAAACATAGACAATTTAAGATTAATCCATTTGATGATACATGTATAGGTATTTATATAGATTCTCCCAATGAATCTGTCTATATAATGACATTGAAAGAAACACGTAAGCATCTGAATTGCTTTGAGATTACTTCATTTTATGTGTTAATATAATCGGCAATATACCATTCTTTATCATCAGGTATCAATGTTTGGGGACTGACAATGATGGTAACAGGTATTATAGTTTTTTGGTGTGCTAAAATATTAAGTCGGAATTCATTGTTTTATTATACTTGTGGCATAATACTTGGAGTCAGTTTGTCTATTATAATTTTAATATATGTGGCTGGGAAATTGATTCCACGGGTATTTATTTTAATATAATACATTGTATATTTGTTTCTATATAATATATTTAAATAAAATATTTTATATATATATTTCTCTTGTTAAGGGAAAAGCTATGTACGTAATATTTGCTGCATCAATGAGTCTTTATATTGCTAAAGCATTATGGGATAATATGCAATTAATTATAATGCAATATAGAGAATGGGTGATGTGGTATGTTCTTGTTACATCTCTGATTAGTTTCATAATTTGTTACCGTTTTGGTCCAGTTACCAATACGAGAACAAAACAAATAATGGAATGGTTTTTGCAGGTAATTTATTACATTATTTTGTATGGTTTTTTTCTTAATTTGTTATTTTTAATTGTTTTATGTTTATATAGCTTGTAGGATTGGCACTGATTTATCACAGTAGTCACTTTCATGAAGCATCCCTTTCATGTTGCATTGTTGTTATACTTTTCTATAACTTTCCGAAAGCAGGATTTGGACGAGCAAAGAGGTATTGGTAAGCATCGATAGGATGTATAATATATAATTATATTCGCTATTTTAGCCAGCTATGATCTATGTGGTGCACAAAACGGCAATTGTGTGAAAATTGATCATTTTTTAGATTAATTGTTTGAATAAAATTCTAATCCATTGTATACACACTCTTCTTCCTTTGTTTGTTGTTTTTCCCTTTTATTATCTGTATGCATTTATAATAATTTTATAATAATTTATAGTTTTGTAGATATTTAATATTATTTGAATAATAAGTTATGTACATGTTGCTAATGCTTAAATTAATATAATATAAACAGCATTTATCTATTAGTATAATGCACAATTTTATCTTAAGCACAATTATGTATGTTATATTTACTTAGTTTTATATACTAGTATTGTATGTATAGTTTGTATTACATAAATTATAAATATTATATACTTTTATTAAGCTTAGTACATTTAAACAATTTTTGAGTAATTTTTGTTCTTACAATGTATCTTGTATATTGAGCAATTGTATTTTCAGTTTTTGCAATAAAATGCATTATATTCTTTTTTAGGTTTCGTTTCATCTTTATACTAATAAATTTTGTTTAGAATTAATATTATAAATCTTACACATACCTACATAATTAATAATTGCATTACTAACTTATCAAATATCTAATCTTTATTATTGGATATGTTTGGGCTTTATAAATTTTTCAAATATGCAATAATCAATTATTAAGTACGAGTACATAAAGGTTTTTTATATTTTTTTCAATTTATCTTTGAAAATGAAATGAACGAGGTAATACAGAGCTCTCTTTTTCTTTTTTTAAATGAGGCAACACATGTTTCCGGAAAAACGAAAATTAATTAATGAAGATCAATATTGTCAAGAAGGAATACGGCAAACTAGGAAAGCTTTAAAGGAATTACAAAACTATTGCTCCAGTCCGGAATGCAATCCTTGGAAGACAGTTTTAAAACTGAAAGATCCGATAAGGTTTCAGCTTGTTAAAATTTAATATCACACAATATGTATAGTAGTAGTCAAGCGTCGTAATTAGCAATATAGATATGAATTTTTCAGATTTGCGAAATTTGTGGAAGGAGAATCGCATTTATTAGAGGATGAAATCGAAGAACACGAAGAAGAAACTTCGAAAATTTTAGAGAAAGGGGAATACACGGATGATGATGATGACTCTTTCTGAATAGAAATGCATCTTTTCTCCTAGATGGATATTGGATCCAATCTGAAGAGTTACAGTGTCTGAGTACAAATGCTTAAATAAGAATTTCATAATAAGTATCATGCAGAAATTTATATTATACTTCTTATAACGATAGTTTAAGCTTAATAATAACATATACAGTGTTTATTTTTTGTTTTGTTGCGTGAGTTAAACATTTTTCACCTAAAGAGACTGTGAAATAGATACTTAAAATAATAATATAAATTTATTTGTCTATATCTTTACTTAAACTATGTTATCTTTGCTTAATTCTATGTGATGGATTCCTCAAAAACATGTATAGCTATACATGTTTATGAAATAACTTTTTTATGAAGATGATATGGGTCTTATATTAGTAACATTTTTCTAATTATACAAGAGATTGCATAAAAATAAATAAAAATTTTACAATTTAATTATTTTATTGTTTATTTTCTTTACTTATATTCCTATTTTTTTCTATCTGTCATAACATTGTTATAATTGAACATATATGACAAAATATGAATTGCAAAAATATTTATATATATTAAAATTTTTTAATAATTTAAACAATTCATACTTTGTTTACATTAATTTTGCATAAAATTTTTTAATGCATTAACAAATTGTTAATATTTTTATATGTATATGTTGATTTTTCGCCAATTACATTGCGACAGAAAATTGAATTGTCGCTTTATTTTAAAGTTGTTATATATATATATATAACAATTAAGAAAATATCCAAATAAGTTTTTATAAAATATTGCTTTTTTTAACTTATAATTTCTAGTGTGCTTTAAAAAGGTGGAAAATTGAATTTTATTTAATGCTTATAACGATCGAAGCTGGATCTTATATTAGATGTTTTAAATAATTTCTATATGAATTTAGGCTTGTCTCTGTTCTTTTTGGCTGAACTGGTGCAAAAGTTCAGCCAAAAAGAACAGGCCTTTTATATACTAAATATGTAATCATTTGAATTGCGCGCCGAACTGATTTTTCGGACTTATAAACGCAATTAAACTACTATAGTAATATCACAAATTAAATTATGATATACATTTAATTTGTGATATTACTACAGTAGTTTAATTGCGTTTATAAGTCCGAAAAATCAATTCGGCGCGCAGTTCAAATGATTATATATTTAGTATATAAATTCATATAGAAATTATTTAAAGCATCTAATATAAGATCCAGCTTCGACCGTTATAGGCATTAAACTCTCACTTGTTGTTTATTCACATATACGGTCTGAACAAATCGTTTATTATTGAATTTTATTTATTTTTAGATTTTTCCAATCATTTGTAAAAATGTATACACAGCATTGAATAAGTAGATGAAATCATCTATTTGTTTAGGTAATAATTCAAATTTAGAATTAAATTCCAATAGTTTATTCAGAATTGCGTGCAATCCGGGTAGAAATACCTTTAGACCAAAGTTCAACAGCACTTGATACATTTTGTCAAATAAGGCATTCAAATAATATTTATTTATATTTTGCCAACTAAGGATTATTTTTTCTCCGAAATTGATTACGGTTTGGATAATTTCAAACGGGTTTAGCAATTTCGGGATGTTAACTAAAGATAACTTATCTATTGTGGACCGTACATCTTTTCCAGTTAATAATTCATTTATAAAAGTCATGAAGTTTTCATCTGTAGATCTAACACCGTTAAGTGTCAATAAGCCTAAGGGCGTGCCTATCGAGGATGGAATTTGTATTGATGATAAAATGGTTCTTTTGTATCTCGCGAGAGATTTTTCGAAAGGCATATTTGCATAGTTTTTGTAATCTCCATTATCTGAAAAAGTTATGTAATAAAAGGATAATTGTTATAATATAAATATTAAATTCTGTATAATTTTTATCTATTTATATTTTATTTGTATAAAACTATACTATAATATTTAATTATATTGTTCCAAATAATTATACTTTCTTTGAATACATAAAAATCTTTTTTCTCTGAAAATAGTTTCAAATGCAGCCGCGTTTGAAGTTTTAAATGCTTAATTAAAAATGTATTATTTTTATAAAATTTATGCACACCAAGTATCGCATTTTCATTTGTCTATTTTATTTGTGAACTTTATTATTTCAATATCGTGAGAAGTCCGTACTACTTTTTATATAAAAATTTTATTAATTTTTATTTAAAAAATGCATGTGAGGAGTGATTTAGCAAAACGTTTTTTAAAAAGATTATCTGGTCGATACATTAATCCGTAAGTGACAAAATTCTGTTTGTTTCATAACGCGTTACTTAATATCATAATGCTGTAAAGTACTGAAGTATAATTTTATCAAAAATTAAAATATTTTTAGATAGTAATGCTAATATTACAATCATATTATTAATATGTTATTTTGAGACCTACTTTGTATTGCTTTAATCACGTCATCTCCATCATATGTCCGACAGGTACCGTACACTACAGCCAGACAGAGAATCAGAAGCGGTATCTTCATTTTGTGAATAATTGGCTTTATTTTATTAAAAGTATCGAAATCTGTCGTCGATTTCGACTGGCGTCTTTTATTTTCTTTCTTGCCTCGTCGGAATTTTTTGCGAATAGCCACTTTTCTGATGTGTGTCGCTCCTTTTTATCGTTACCTTTTGGTAGAAATCTTCGGCAGAATTAATTAGTTTAATACAATCTTTTGACAACCTGACGTTCTAGTAGTCTTAATTGATTCCGTAAGCGATAAAAGTTTCAAATAATGTTCGGAACAGACGGTGCGATGTCTTGAATTAATGTTCTATTTGCTAATTGCACTCGGTTATTTGCATTCAAACAGTAACTCGATCATTTATTTTGTTCTACATTTTATTAACGTTATATTAACAACCTTTCCTTATTTTGATAATAAATGTACGATACCTGCAAATTTGCACTGAACTTACTTGCTTATGAAGGCAGCATTTGTAGAACTGACAATATAAACGACTTTTCACGGACAGCATTGACGCATACTGTGTTACGTATACAAGTCCTGGTTATCGGTACTAATTTCACATGGAAAAACGCTTTCGATATCTACAGTGACATTTGCGGTCTAATATTTATCTTCTTTCTGTTATCGCTGTATTTTTGGTGTGATGCGATGCATTTTGGTTTCCGGGTATGTTTCTTTATTAAACAAAATGACAAGTTATTTTGTGAAAACGCTCGAAACTATAGATACATAACTTAAAATGCTAAATATTAATAAAATATTGTTTTCATATGTGCACAAATGAACCTAGTCAAAATAAATTGCCAATCGGTTCCGCTATTCTTCAAAAAAGGATGTCGGTTTTGCTGACATAAGTTGCATCTTCTAGCTAAGAAACTAAGATAATGCATGTATATACAGGGTGTTTCCAAATTAAATGGCAAAACTTCGGGAGCGTGTAGAGGAGTAAAAAACTAAGAAAAAAAGTCCTATAGACATATGCTCCTTTTTGCTTTGTTTCGCAGGAAATCACGAAAAAAGAAAAAAATATATTTAATTTATTATTTTAATTATTTTATTTATAAACTTTTTAATGAAGATTTTGTTCGAAATGTGCACCTCTTGCAGCAATACAAGCATTGCATCTGTCAAACACGGCTCTTGTAGCAGCCAGGCACTGTTCTTGCGATATTCTGTTCGCTGCAGCTACGATACGATTTCTCAAATGTTGCTCTGATTGAATAGGCGAAGAATAAACTTCTTGCTTCAGAGTACCCCATGCATAGAAATCTAATGGCGTTAAGTCGGGCGAACGAGTTGCCCAATGTACTGCTCCTCCACGTCCAATCCATCGTTGTGGGAATTTTCTATCTAACCAGGTTCTAGCGACTCTGCTGTAATGAGCAGGGCATCCATCTAATTGAAACCACATTTCAGTACGTTGTTGTAATGGGATGTTTTCTAAATAGTCAGAAAATTCATTCTCCAAGAAATTTAGAAAACGGTCCCCATTTAATCTTGCAGGTAAAAAAAACATTTTTTTTCGATTTCTCTGAAACGGAGCAAAAACGAGCATATGTCTATAGGACTTTTTTTCTTAGTTTTTTACTCCTCTACACGCTCCCGAAGTTTTGCGATTTAATTTGGAAACACCCTGTATATATCATATGTTATAATTTTAATAGTAAGAATAAATGATATTATAAACAAATAATTACAATCTAATTTGCTTATAAGTAATTTATTCATAAATATTTCGTTAAAAAATATATGATCATTATTAATTAATTTTACGTGAAAAAACAGTCAAAAACGATTTGTTATTGTATCGTGTAATTTATTGTATTAGCGAATACAAGACGAAATTTAAGATTAATACTTGCTTACTCTTACGGAAAAAAAACACTGAAAATTTCGAAAAAAAACATGAAAAATTACGTATTATTATGATCGATATATCTTATTTTTTCCATCATAGGTGTCGGCTATATCTTGGAACCACTTTCAGCAAAAGTAAAATCAACATTGTTTCACGTTTTTGGATAAAAGCATGGTGAAATTTCACCATGAATAAAAAGATTGATTAATCGGTTGTTTATTTCAAATCTTTTACCATATGGTTGAATAATTAGGTAAAGAACGAAACAACGAAACAAATATATAGTCTATGATTTAATGATGCAAGTATGGGCATCGCAACGGAGTGCACTTGCACTCCCTGACTCATGAAATAATTAAGTGAGGAAGAGGAAAGTTTACAGGAAAAAAAGTCGCATAATTATAGAATATAATTTTTTTGATTGAACAGAAATTCAATGCATAAATATTAATTAATGTAATAAAACTTTAGGAAATCCATTTTAGAAAAATTAATGTTGGAACAAAAATTTGGTTACTGCAGTCCAAATTTGTTCGTCATATTATTATCAATGAATTCATTTACATCTAAATGTCATTTACATCTTAATGTCTGCAATTGGTGTTCGAATTTGAATTCTTCTGAGTGCACCCCCCTGCAAGTAATTCTGCCAGCGCCCATGGATGCAAGCCAAATTTATTATTAGAAATTAAGCTAATCAGATAATCAAGAAAGAAAACTTATTTACAGAGACCAAGAGTGTAACAGTAAAAGAAAAAAGTAAAAATTCGTAGTTTTATCGAAAGAGTTAAACACAATAATGTTATGACTGAACGATGAGTTAAAGATTGGATGTCAGAAATAAAATAGGAACTGTAAAGAGCAAATGTTAGAAAAAATAATTGTTCGAACGCGTATGAAGCCCGATCGACGATTATGTATATGTAGTTGTAAGTCTAATATATAGTTGTAGTTGTAATTGAAGTTGTAGTTGAATTGACCAATCACAGTTAAATATGAGAAGAATATTCGACTGTGATTGATGATTTCTTACTACAACTATTTACAACTTATATGCTTACGCAATTGTAAATCAAGTTTAAAGATTATTCTGCAATATAATAAAACGCTAAAATAATAGTAAATAAACTACTACATTTATGAACAATAAACACAGTTAATAAATTGTTAAATACCACATATGCATGAAGTAAATATTCAGTATTGAATTATAAATTAAGATTTTTTAAAATTTAATATGTATCATATCAGAAATTAAGTGCATTTCCAACAATCATTTGATATCTAAAACCTTAACATTCTCCCAATCAAAGTCATGATTCTAATTCCTATGTTAAGTAATTACACCCAAATAACACACAGCGCTTTCAAAACGTTAACAAAGCGCTAAAATAGCGCATATAATCGCTTTTTTAGCATTTTGCAAGTGCTGCTTGGGTAGAATGTTTGGACATATTTCTATAAATATAATATGATTCCGATATTTTGTTTCCAATTGTTTATTTGTTTATCCTACATAGTATGCACATCACAATTTTTATATAAAATTTTGTATATATTATGTATTACATATTCTTTTTATACATGTTATGTATTATAAGGGTTGACAAGTAACGCGTTACTTGTAACGTCGTTACCGCTACAAATTACTTTTTTCGGTAACGATTGGATAATGACGTTACATTTTCTTCTGAGTAACGTTCATGGTAGCGCAGCTACATTTTTGGGGTAATGGTAACGATTTCACTAGTTACTTTTATCGTTACTTTATTTCCATTTACATAAAAGTTTTAATCGTAACTAGCGCGTATATACATATATTTATCAGTTTTTGAATTTTATTCCTCTACTAAAAAATAGAATTTTGACATCTTTTTTATATTTAGTGCAGGAACTTATCTAATTACGCATATAATAGCGTTTTTCATTGGCAGAACTAGTGCGCATTCAGTGCACTTTAAAATCGCTGTACAATCGACGTAAAGATGTCTGGTGAATAAAAATATAAAAACGAGTTAAACCGCGAAATCCTCAATACATTTTATTATATTATTTGATAAAATATACTTTATCATTTGAAATATCTCATTTTTACATTTAGAGTTATGTACAACGGCTTTAATGTGCACTGAGTGTGCACAAGTTCTGCCAATGAAAAACGTTATAATAGTGTCAAGAAAAGAAAGTAACGAAAAAGTAACGACTCATTACATTTTGAAGAATAGTAATGGTAACGAGTTACTTTTGCAAATCAATAACGAGTAATGATAACGTGTTACTTTTTAAAAAGAAGAACGGTAGCGGTAACGAGTTATTTTTATGAGGTAACATTGCCAACCCTTATTTAAAGTATTAGGGGAAAGAGGGGTAAGATGACGACCTTAAGGTTTGTCGATTTTTTCTAATTTCTGTGAAGAGGTAAAGAGATTGATTAATTTTTTTCAAGTTCACTACAGTCTTAGTTATCATTTGTAAAAATTATAAAGTTATTAAATAAATTACAATTCTTTAAAATTTATATTTTTTTGAGGACATGTCAATTTCGTTATCTTGCCCCCCTATATGTGGGTAAGATGACTTTTAGTAGTGGCTAAGATGACGAAAAGTCAATTTAAGTTAAAAATATACTTTTTATGAGTAAAAAAAATTTATTATAATACGTTTATATTGTTTTAATTATTATAAGAAGTTTTAGAGAAAAATATGAACAAAATAAAACCTTTATATAATTTATGAAAATAAAATTATTGAAACGTTAACACATTATGTGTAGTAATTATGTACTGTATGTAGTAATTACGTAATTAACTTATTAGTAAAATATATCTACTTACTACTGTGTGTAGTCAAAAATAAAATAAGATTTAAATAACCTAACTTACAATCTGCCTGCATGAGAGCGTTCTCTTACCCATACACGATATTTACCCATAGTCACCGTATATTTTTATTTAATTAATAAAAACTATTGTAATGCGAAAAATAAAAAAAATATTAATGTTATCGTATTCACTTTTAGTTATACAATATTGCAATTTTATTAAAGAAATAAAAGTATTTACTATAATTATGTCATTCCTTATATACAAATACTGCAAAATTACAAGTGAATGCATCCAAAATACATTTCTTAATATATTATCTATTTGTAGTCGGATTGAATTCAAACTATAAGAGATTGTGTATTATTACCTAAAGCCTTTAATGAATTAAGTATCTGCTTTTCATCTATTATTATCTTTATTAAAAAATTAACAATTCGTCATCTTACCCCTCTTTCCTCTACAAATAACTACTATATTTAAATATCTTTTATGGAATTTTTTTTCAGTTACTGTAAGAGAGCTTACAACAAGAAGTTTGATGTTGAGTAAGAATTGTTACGTTTACAATTAAAATTATTTCATTGACAGGCTATTATATATACAGGTTCTTATATGAGAAAAACTGAATTCTCTCAAGCGTCCATTAATATCATTCTATCAGCGTGCAATTGAATTTTCACGGGACATTAGAGTATATTATACACAGAAAACGCATACCATAAATTTTCATTGTATTATATTGTTTATATTTCGATTTAATGCGAATTGACCGGATGACAATGTGAGTATGGTCACAATAGTGTGAGTACGGTAGTCAGGAT